AGGGAGGAACCTGCTGCACCTGCAAAGCGCTCCTCAAAAACGGGTTTCCTTAACACCAAGATACTCAGTTCCCGACCTCCCTTACAGGCGATCCAAATTACACCAACTGACCACACACACAAAAGAGATTTGTCTATCGATTACTTTTGAGATTAGAACTAAGGCCTCCACCTACTGAAAAGCCTCTGTGCAGGATTTTTAATCTTTTATAAACAAATAAACCACAGGCTTTGGTTGGAAAGAGCTCTTTCATGAATTGCTATGAGAAGTTTTGCTCTTCAAAAGAGGTAATAATTTTTGTGCAGTATTTTAAAAATCATAGATGGGCAAATATTTTAATATCTAGATATCTATATGCTTGCTGAAGAACTACTTTCCCTCCTGCATTTTCTTCAAAGGCTTGTCTTGTAGAGAATTTGAGGTTAGTCCTGAAAGTTTTCTTTGCAAATGATAGCAGAAACACCAGTTAAAAAACTAGAAATGCAAAGGGCACACAAAGAATTTATAGGCAACTGCTAAGTTCAGGAAACAAACAAACAAACCAAAAACAAAACAAACAAGCAAAAACCTCAAGATAGATGCGAATGAAAATTAGAAGAAGCAGGAAGAGAGAGCACACAGTGCTCTCACCATCCACTCCGCAAGCAGACACAGCGACTGCAACCAGCACAGCGTCAGCTGGACAGGACTCCCTTCCATCGTTCAAAGAGATCCCACTCAAAAAGATTTTAACCTCAGGAGACAAACCATGAGGATTTGAGAATTTAGGTAAATCGCTGCTTTCCTCCGTTAATTCCCTTATGTGGAGCAAGCGAGATAACAGACAGAAATGTAAAGTGAAATTTAACAAGTTATCTCCTTGGGGGAGAAAAATAAGGAACCACATAAAAGCTTTTTTAAGGGCAGTTAGAAAGGATGTGCTCACACATATAAACACAGTAGCTTCTAGCCAATTAAAGAGGGCTTTAGCATGTTTTGATCACACATCCTTAACGGAAATGCATGATGGAGGAACTCACAGCAATGTGAAAATCTGAAGATATTCAAAGCAAAGATGTAGGTACCTGCCCTGTTTTGCACATGGAGATTTGTTATTGCCTACTGCTTGATTTTGGCGTGGAGATTTGCTGTGCAGCACGACCAGTAAAGGCTAGGAGAGCCTTAACAAACCCGTGAGAGATGACCTCTACATACTACTGTGTTAAGGGCACAAGTGAAAACACCTTTCAAAGGCCTTCTGCATTTGTCTGTAGGCATCCCCACATAAGAAGCAATCAGGCAACAGTTACCCCCACATTAAAATATAAATAAATGCTTCGAACCTGCTTTTTCCATAGATACATATGTATCAACACAAGGGAAGGGATCACAGTTCATTTGCCAAAGTTTCACTTTAAAAAAAATAAAGGAAAAAAGTGGAAATTCGTCATCCTGCAGCTTTCCTTTCCTTTGAAGAGCATTACATACAGAGATAGGGGAAAAAAAAAAAGTGGGAAAAGAAAAGGCAAGAAATGAACATAGCTCACACGTCCTCTCCTCCCAACCCCCTCAAGAAATGACCAGAAAAGGGGTGATGAAAACATGGGGGAATTTGCTAACTGTTTAAAAACACAATCTCTTTTTACTACCAGCAACAGAAACAAATAGGCAATAAACAACGGAGAACTGTTCCGTGAGTGCAATATAGAAAAGGGGAAAAAATGCCTGCTGGGAGGCCAGCCAGTTCTCCTCTCTATAAATTACTTCTCTTGCTGTTGCCTACTCAAATTCACAGTGTAGTTTAAGTTCAGCAGTAAAAGTCAACAAAAAAACCCCAAAAACTCAAACAGAAAAAAAAAAAAAGCCAAGTTATTTTATTTATAAAGTAGTTCTTGGCTGAAGTGCTCCTGAGAGGCTATGGAGTTTCTCATGTGTATATGTGTGTGTGTGTATATATATATATGCATGTATGTATATCACACACTTTGACGGATCTGTTCGGTGTAAGCCTATTTGCTTTATCAAATCAAGCAATAAAATTAACCACCCTGAAATAGCACAGACACCTGCTTCCCTTCACACACACTCACAAGCTGAGCGTGACTTTGGCCTGAATCCTCAGACCACCACGGCCCCCCTCAAGCCCAAGCTGGGTGGATAGGTCCAAAAACCCATCTCCAAATCGCAGGACCAAGCATTTCTGAAGATCCCTGCGTGACAGCAGGACCTGGAGAAGTGGCGGCTGGGTGGCAGGGAGTTAACATTCCTCCTCTCACACGCCAGACAGCAAGATTAAAGACTGGAAAGCCAGAGAGGGAGCAGATGCTTCCAAGTGTTTCTTCCCCTAGGAGAAAGCTTGGGACACACACCAAAAATGAATGTTCCTGCAGCAGGACTTTACGGCAACCAGATATGACTAAGAATAACAAAGGGAATAACTTGTAACCTGCTCTGTAACAGTCAGAGCTTGTCATTGCATCACTTTAACATAGCACATGATTTTAAAGCTGCAGTTAAAAACAGGCTGAGTCAATTAACAAACTATCATGTGGAAGAAAGGCTTTTATTGGGGGAAAATGTTTCAGAAAGAGAATTACCATAACCAGCACTGCCCATAAATGGACTTTTCCTTGTTTCCTCTGGCAACTTCCAGGCACTGTTCCTATTTGCATAAAGCATTATTAAGAAGCAGTAACTGTGGGTTATTACAATGTCAAGAACTGTTCCATAATTCCTTTAAAATGTAAGGTTTAGTTAGTTTAAGAATATATAATTTTGAAGTTAGTATAATACAATTCTACACAGCAGATCCATAAAGCAGTTTGTAATGTAATGAGTGAATGCCCTGAATGAAAAACATCATCCATATTCCTCACAAGGCTTTGTACACTTAAATAATTTTGTTATGAAAAAAGAAAAGAGGTGGTAAAATGGTATGGGTTACTTGTGCCATAATAAATTGCTTTTAAAATGCTGTAATCGGATAAAATAACTTAAGATTCATGCAGTAAGTATTAACATTTAGAAAATATTTTACTTGCAAGGTAAAATAATTTCTATTACCTTAGCAGACTCATACTTTGTATAAGAAACAGATCTGTGCAAAAATCTGACTTATTTACATTTTCTAGATGCCCATGGGTTTGAGCTGATGTGGGGAAGAGTACAGAAATATAACTGAACTGCTCCATAATGTAATATAAAATCATTTTCAAAAGTTATCTTTCATGGCCCACGTATATCAAAAATTTATATATCAGATCATGTCCTCCTACCACAGAAAGAGGGGGAAAAAACGGTTCCTCACCTGCGTGGCCTCGTTCTGGGAGACATCATCTCATTTCCCAGGATATGGTACCGCCGGGCTTCGTGCAGCAGCTGGTAGCACTCCGGGGAGTTCTGAATGAGCTGGTCCACTTCCACCGTCTGCACGAAGTAGTTGGGGTGCAGCAAGGGGAGCCTGACGTGCGTCAGAAGTTCGTGCAACACTGGTCTTCTCAGCTCAACCGCCCGGTACACCCAGCGCATGACAGCTTCAAACACCATCTCTTCCTTACTGATCACCAGCTCATCGCTGCAAATGTAATCAATAAGCTCATCCTTCCCCAGCTCAAGGAATTCTTCATGCTGGGACACATCCTCAAACGTCTGCAGCGCAAAATTCCTGCACTTGGTGAATAGCGTCTTGAGCGAGTGCGTGTCTGCAAAACGCTGGATTCCGAGGCAGTTGCATGGATCCAGCTGTTCTTCCAGGAATTTGGCACAGGCATCACGCAAAACGCTGATCTGAAAGAGGCTTGATGTCTCAAAGAGATACTGTACGTTCTCGGTGGTGATTTTCACCTTCCCAGTGTACACGTACTGCAAAAAGCAGTCCATAGCTTCAGCAAAGATCCCGTTGATCTCCACCAGCATCTCCCGGCTCTCTCTGTGGTCATTGCAGAACATGGCTCTGAAATAGCTGCTGCAGGCAGAGAGCACTGCTCGGTGGCAGGGGAACTCTCTTCCTTCCACGCAGATAATGACATCTGTGAACAGGCGGCTGTCTCGAAACTCGTTGAAGATCTGCAGAATGCTTTCGGCATGGGACGAGCCCGAGGAGAAGTCAAAAAACTCATGGCCTGATAACGACTTTGGGTCCATTTCAAAAACTTTCCGCTTGGTTGCAGGGGAATCTCGTATCCCGCTCTCCTCTCTATTCAGGCGGCGTCCCAAGATTAGTACCATTGTTACCTCAGTTGGCTATAGAGTCATTGAGAAAAGTTTGCCGAGTGCCTCCTTCACAGCGCTACGGGCAGAAAAATTAGAACACTTGAGTATTGAGGCCAGGCTGCCCTTCATGCCACAACGAGAATTAGACAGGACACTTGCCTGGGCACTCTGGACATCAAGAAGCCTCTTGACCTTTTTTTACCATTACTGGGCAATGGTAACTCACCCTGTGCGGGGCAGCAGGGCTCCACAGCTTGCATTAAAGATGTAACACACTGGGGATGGGTAAACTAGACTCCAACACCAGCCAGTCACCTGGCTGATGGCAGCTAAGGGCTTCCCCAGATAAAAACCCGGACCTTGAACTTATCTTATTTTGCTGTGCTCGCTTCAGCTGCGGCCTGAAAGCACTACTATAACAGCAACAAATAAACGGGGAAGAAAAAAGAGACTGAATCTTTCAGAACAGGAATATCGATGAGGTAAAAGAGAAATCACTCCTATTTCATTATAAAGTCCATCACAATAAGGTTTGCTAATACTAGAATTTAAATAACATTTAACTATCTCAGTGAGAAACCTTGACCACAAAAAAAAAAAAAAAGAGTCATTTTATCCTGTTCATTCTGATCACCTGAAACCCAGTATACTGATAATCTAAAACTTAACTGAAAATGAATGCAGGTTGCTAATACACAAAAACATTTGGAATGGGTATGTTTAAATGAGATGTTAAGAGCAGGATGAAGAAGCTACAAGAGTAACATGAGAACAGGCTGAAGAAAGGTTACACTTGTCTTTGTTAGTACACCTGCAAGTAAGGACCACAGACAACTTACTGAAGGGAAGAATATTTTCTGTTTTCCAGAGTACCACCAGCAAAAAAAAAAAAAAAAAACATAAAAAGTTTCTTGCCTGAAGGCTTTTGAATTTCAAATGGTGTGCCAACCTTCCCTCCTCCAACACATACATACATATCACAGTATTAACGTTGCAAAAAATCAAGTTAAATGTTAGCTAATGCCAAAATTAAAGTTTGTGTGCAGCTGATTTTGCATATATTGCCTATTACAGCTAATATGATCATCCCTCTTAGCAGCGCACATTTTGCCATTCCTTAACTTTAAAATAACCTGCATGAACGTCCACCAAAATACGCCAAGGCAACACTTCCATAAGCAAAAGGCCGAACCAAAGATCTACATGTAACACAAACACAGCTCTGAATGCAAGGGCTTTTTTATTTTTTATTTTTTTTTGGCTTGCATATCCCAGAGGATGTGGAATTGTGGAAATTATTTTTTTTAAGCTTCCCAGAGATTACATTCATTTTCTCTCACTTTCTGCACAGACAGCAAGGGTTCGTCTCAAGTAGCAGTTTCATTTCCTGCCACACTAACATCTTTAGAGCTGCTACTACCCAGCTGAAGGCTGGCTACATCATCGTTTAATATAGAACACAATAAACCAGGCTTTTTTTAAACAGCTCTTTTACAGAGCTCCTTTAAAAGGCACCATCTTAAAGAGTGAGAAGAGAATGTACCTCACATCTCCAATCACTGGGGAAAAAATGTTCTAAAACTATCATCTTCTGTACAATTTAGATAAACCTGTAGGCACATATTTACGAAGTATTTTTATAGTGGGGCTCACTGAGCCTGCGAAATATTTCATTTTATTTTGAATTTAAATAGCATCAGCTGTCATTTTGTTGCCTGAAAAACATTAATGCAATGAATTAGCTGACTGCTTCAGGGCAATATTATTAGGAAACAGGGTAGCATTAGGTAGTCTACTCTATAGCTGCTATTCCACCCACGGTACTTTTAGCCGGGTTATCCTGCAATAACCTTAGCCCGATAATAACGCCATCCACCAAACCTAGGATCGCCCGTTCTCTTGCTAACAGCTTCATCCTTATACTGAACTTTGTCTGCAATATTTCCATGCTACCCAGCGGAAGAAAGCAGGCAGAAATGAAGCTTCCATCAGCAATAGCAAAAGGCAACGTAACTATGAAAAATAAACACTAAAGATTTGATGGTGGTATCACAGATTCAAATCAGGATAACTATTACAGTTAGCGGAGCTTTTCAGGCTATCTCTACTTGGGAAATCAGAAACAGGACCCTGGCATTCAGCATGACAGGGCTGCCCCTCTCCCTTTTGGCTATATAAAAAAACCTCAAAGATTCAATCTTTCTCATTATGTGACATCGTGCAGCTCTGAAAGATCTTACATAAGGCAATCTTTAATAAATGGAAATGAGGCCTTCAGGTTACAATTGCTCACACCAAAGGAAGTGAGGTGATGTGAAATCTTTGTGCTTGTGATGTGAAATAACACAAAAAACAGTGGTCAGGGAATAACTTATTTCGTTTTTGAAATGTTCCAGGGGTTTAAAGAAATGATAAAGTTCCACAGAGCAGAAGCTAGTCAAGGGAATAAATGACTGACAAGAAAGAGGGTAAAAAGGAGAAAGAATAACATTCCGCTGCAGAAAATACAGCTTGAAGACACTATGCTTCTATTTCCAGCCACTGAAATTAAGAACTGGTCTGTCCCTAACTCCAATACAGGAAGGAATAAATTACTTCTGCTTATGCAAAGCGATTTTATAGGACAATCAGCACAGTTCAGACACACACGCTGCCTTCTCACAAGCCTTGCTCTGTCTGTTCACGGCGCTGCCCTCCAGCCGAGGTCACAGCACAGAAGAGCAGGAGGGGACACGGCCCCCGCTTTTGGCCGCTCCAGTGTACGGAGCTGGGCGATGTGTACAAGGCAACACAGCCCTCTGCACTGCCAGCGCTCACGAAGCTATGGGGACAGGGCTACAGGCTGCATTACAAAACACCAACTTTTCGACAGTTCAACGTACGGATCTTTTCTGTAAGCGTAAATGAAGAGTAAGTGAGACAGGACATGCAACATATCACCTATCTGCTCACTCGGCAAAACACAGGCAAATCACACTTTCAATCAGCAAGTTTGTAAAACGCTTTAGCAATGCAGAGATCCTGCACGAACATTATCTGCACACAAACATCCCTAAGCTAAGCTCCGTGGTGGACCAGGTTCTTGTGTTTCTTTACAGTCCACATTGTCTACAGGCTTGTCTGCACAAGAGATTGCACAGAAGTAATGGAGAGCCCTAACCCAGGGGCTCTGCAGACACATAGGGAGCCTGAGCCCACGCGCCGGGAGGACAGGGACCGCAGGCAGGCGCCAGGGGCTGCCGAGGACATCCCTCGGCACCGAGCGCAGACATGTCGTGCTTACTGCTACCTGCTGCAGCAACTCTAACAGCCAAGGTGATGAAAAAACAAATAAAAAAAACAGATGGGGTTTTCACTTGAAGCCTAATGGCTACAATTAACCAGGCCTGAGTTGCAGTTAACTTCCTTGTGATTTCAGGAAACGTGACCAGCAAACCTGACTTATCTTGGATATTTGCTTTCCACAGAAGTCCGCCAATATACTCTCAGGTTGTTACCTATTCCAAGGCGTTAGCTAAAAACCACAGCACATGTTCTTGATTATTTCTTTCAGAACAAGACAGAAGGGGAAAAAAATCGTGAGCTTTAGCCTCCATCAAAAAAAAAAGTTTTTTTTTCTTTCTATTCCTCTGTGATACAAAAAAAAGACCACAAAGTTGTTCATTCTAAAATATTTCTTCTAATCCTTCCTCTTTTAAATAGAAATTAAGTTTTGCATTCCTCTAGGTGACTAAAATCTTTACTTAAAGTCTTTAAGATGACTAAGAACTGGCAAACAACAAAATTAACAAGTTCATTGACATGGTAAGGAATTAGCCACACTGCAAATATTTTAATGTAGAATACCATTTTGGATTAAAAAAAAAAAAAAGAAGAGGTATTTGTTTATGTCAAGATTCTGCAATGATTAAGCTAAGGACACACAAAACCAGCCTCTCTCAGTGCCATGAAAAATCCCACAGCAAAAACAGGAACTAGACTTGGACATGAAACTCATTAAGTCCAAAAGGCAGGGAGTGAAAACAAATATCTACAGAATGTGCAAGGATTTTTACACAACATTTTGTGAATGGAAGAGTCATCTAAAAGGGCACAGATCCACCAAAAAGAGTCACGGCGCATTTGCATTAATGTAAGAGGAAAAGATTTAAGTATCTCACCAAAAGAACATCACTAATCATTACAGATGCCCTGTATACATGCTTCGATGACTTCCAAGTTCTTCAACCAACTGCTTACAAATTTGAAACAAACAAAAACCCACATTAGCCAACAAATGTAACAGCATTCAGGACACATTCCTGATACTATAGCCAAATATATAGCCAAATAGGATTATTTTTACATAAAGGAATGGGAGTTTAGGAAAGGTAATGAAGTTTGGTTTAGGTTAATACCTAAACGTGTATGTCCAAAAGTGTCTTTGTTAAAAGGACTCCTATATAAACAAGCAAATACAAAACCTACAGAACAAACACGAACCAAAGCCAGGAAGTTTAAAGCTGATAAACGTCCTTTACTTGCACTATTGACTTTCCTGTTTACACTGACGCGAGCCAGAAACAGATGAAATTTGAGTCTTTTGTCTCACTGCGTCACAGCCCTAATGCATTTAAATATAGATTTTGCATACATCGTGTTTCCTGAAGTTGGCATGCAACTTCGCCAGGTATTGTCGGAGGGTTCCTATTTATACCTCGTGCCCCAGGGACTAACTGCAACCCGAGTGGTTTTTATCCTCAAACATTCCAGAGCTGTTGCTACCCCTCTGTGCTATATAAAGCAATGAGGTGTCGTTTAGAGGAGGAAAGAAAAAAAAAAAAAAAAGAGATGAGGAGGGGGGATGCAAAGCTGAGGGTGCAGCCCTGGTGTGTGGAGCTGCTCGCAGGGTCAGGGCAAGTTCGGCCCCCAGAAACGAGAT